ATCCATCGTGTCGGTCGTACGGCGCGTGCGGGCCGCGCGGGCCGCGCCGTGACGCTGGTCAAGAAGGGCCAAACCAAGGGCCTCTCGCGCATGCTGGCCAAGGCCGAGAAGGCGCCGCTGCCCGTGTATCCCGTCGACGCCGAGCACATGCAGACGCTCGTGCCCCGGTACACGGCCTGCCTGGCCTCACTCAAGGAGACGCTTGCCAAGGAGAAGGCGGGGCACCTCGGCCTCACGACCGGTGTCTCGCTCAAGCGCAAGCTCCACGACGACACCGACGACAAGGACAACGACCAGGCCATGGCCGACGACGACGACGACGAGGACGACGCAAAGCGCGATGATGAAGCTGGGGCCAAGGACGACGATGATGACGTGGCACCCCGGGAGGCGCTGCGGGCGCGGCTTGTGGAGCACCTCAAGCGACAGCGGGCGACCGAATAAAAAGCGTGTTCGCATGTGTTAAATAATATGCTCGGCTTGCGTGCGCTGGACGTAGGCGTCCCAGTCGCCGGTCGCAAAGATCTCGGACCCCGGGCTCTGCGACTCGGCGCCGGTGTCGAGGATCGTCGTCGACTCGACGTGCAGCGCGAGGAGGAGCCGCCGGTGCATGGAGGCGTCGGCGCCAAACGTGGCAGTCGCGAGCACCACGTCGTCGGGGCCTTGGGGCATGAGGTACCGGGGGCCGTGTGGCGCCGCGGCGGCGGCGGCTCGCTTCGGCGCCGCGTGATGGCGATGACGGCGAAGACGAGACATACGAGACCGGCGACGACCACGGACGAGATGATCATGGCGCGCTGGGTCCAGCTACTGGAATCTACAAGCAGAGAGGGCGGTCAGAACGCGAGCTACCGTGGCGAAGACGCTACAGACTCGCTTGGTTGGAGATGGACGCCGATGGCGTAGGCGTGGAGGTACGAATGGTTGGTGGTGCTTCCGACGACGACGGCAGTGGCGAGAAAGGACGCGTCGTCGTACTCGGTCGAGTGCTCGGCGAGACTACCGTCGTCGTTGGCGCCGTCGTCGTCGTTGGCACCTGCGTCGTCGTGGGCGCTGGCGTTGTTGTAGGCATCGGCGTTGTTGTGGGTACCGGCGTTGTCGTCGTGGGTGCCGGTGATCGTGACGGAAGGGCAGTCGGGTGCCGCGTTGACGGTCGTGGTGTTTTCGGACGGACTGTCGTTGGCCTGGCTGTCGGGCGGACTGTCGTTGGCCTGGTTGTTGGGCGGGGTGTCGTCGGGGACGGTGTCGTCGTGTTGGGTGCGAGCGGTGTCGAGGCATTCGATGGTACGGTGATGGCTGGCGTCGGAGCAATGGTCGATGCGTTCGGGGAGAGCGTCGATGCGTTGGGCGGGAAGAGAATCGTGTCATCGATTCGCGGCAGCAGCGTCGTGACGTTGGTAGGCGGGAGCGAGATCGCGGCGCCGAGCACGGGAGGCCGCACCGCGAGCGCGACAGCGACGTGTGCGAGCAGGAGGACGCGTCGCATGGACCGCAAGAAGGTGAGTGGCAGGTCACCAGCCTGTGCGACGGAACGCCGCTGGCATTGCACGAGGCTCTGGCTTGCACCGCCTGTCTACACCAAGAAGTTGGCTCGAAAAGAACGGTGCGTCGCGCGCCAGCTGTTTCAGTCGCCTCACGTCCGCACGGTTGTCATTCTCATTTCTGTGCGATGACGCGGCCATGATACTACATGGTCCAAGTACACGCCACGTCTCCCGCTCGGCTAAGCCTCTCGGCGGCCGGCTCGTCGTAGCACCTTGGAATCGATAGTCCACCACCATATCCAGTTCAGTGTAAATTATATCTAAATAGACTCACTTCAACAACAACATGGTCCAAGTACCGTAGAGGCACCGCAAGATGCCTCGCACTTGCTGCAATAGAAGAATAGAAGCCGCCTCGCAGACTTACCCGGCGGGCTGGCTCCGTGTCGTCCAACGTGTTGTCGTCAACGTGCCCTTTGCTGCATCTCGGCGTTCGCGCAAGAGACCGAACAATCTGGCTCGAGAGTAGGTCTGGGCCAGTCGCGCCCCACTTGGGATGACCGCGCCGCGAATGTGGCGTTGTTGTTGAAGTGGGTGTGGCGTCCGTCGTGGCAGAAATACGTTGTTGGCCTCCGACGGTAGAGTGCTCTTCCAGGATGGTGGCTTTTGTCCATGGACATCTTGCACGACGTCATGAATCGATTGTTTGTGTTGGTATGGCGAAATGAGAGTGTACCCACCGCCTCCAAATGCCGAGGGAACATCCTTGCTCGTGTACCTCGCGCCATTTTTGACCTCGGGCACCCAATTGTACCGTAATTCTACGTTCGGCATACAGTTGGGCGGGCACGCAATGCCAGTGCGCGAGCTCATGATTGACTGCAGTCGTACGCGTCGCCAACGCTCTCGAGTAATATCACTAGATGTCATACTGGTACTTGGCATACCACTCGAATAGCACGGATATCGCGGCCTGCTCAGGTCGGTCGAATCGCGTCACGGGAGTGCGCACGTGCGTGGCGAAAAGGCAGCAGTGGCCGAAAGCGATTGCTCTGTGGCTAGCCTTTACGTTGTCCACCATGGCGATCACTGGGACCGCTACATAGCGACTAGAACAACGTATTGGGTGTGGTGTACTCGTTCAAAGGCAGCACCCTTTGGCCGTACGAGCCGTGAAGCCATTTGAACGACACGAATATATTTGATGCATGTATAACTAGCGAGCGGCACGTGGAGCAGAGTAAGCACACTTGATAGTGTACGTCGATGGGTCCTTAAATAGTCACAACTTCTACACGACGTGGACCTTCGATTGGACCATGTCTTGGAAGCGGCTAGAGTCCATGCAAAAAGAGCTGCTGATGCTGTAGTTGCCGCTGCTTTGACCATAGTGCGACGACCCGCCGAACGAGCTCAGCGAATAGCCGTCGTCCATGCTCTCCATGAGCTGCTCCGTGTTCACCGAGTGGCCCAAATGCACCTCCGAGTCGTCGCGGATCGGCAAGGAGGAGGGTGGTGGCGGTGGCGGGGCAAACGGACTGCTGCTGCTGTTGCACGGGTACGGGTTGTGCGGAATGTGGCGGATCGGTCTGCATGACGGGAGAGCCGGGGTAGCTCCGCGGCGACTTGTCTTCGGTGAGGCGCTGGAGCCGC